TTTCAAAAATTTATATTGGATCCATCTCAAAAAAGAGGTTTTTAGAAAAAGTTAAAAAATAATGATAAAAAATATTTAAAAAAAGCTATTGATTTTTCTTTTAAAATTAAGATTTTAAAACTTTTTATGATTTTTAAAGTAAAGATATGAACTAACATAATAATACAATAAATTGGTACATCATATAACTTCTTTTTACTTTATATTATTGACTAAGATTAAGGCTTCTAAAAGAGGACTTTATTTTATTAAACAAGGTACTTTAATAAGACTTTTGAACTATGGCTTTTCAAAATTGGGCTTCTAAGTATAAAGTGCCTTCAAAATATGGCACCTAAAAAGGAATGAATATAAGAAAGAAGTAACTAGATTGTAGATCTAGTTACTTCTTGTAGAATGCTCACTAGTATAGTATATTACATGTTAAATAACGATTGTAGATCTGGTTACTTCTTCCTTATATTCATTCTTTTTTATATTCATTCTACTTTAACCACTTAATTTTAGAATGCTGACTAGTATAGTATATTATATGTTAAATATTTATATTAGAGAATTTGAATCTAGTTCAAACCCTCATAATTATGCAAATAGTTATTATATATAATAATATTTGAATTTAAGTGTTCACAACATTAAGTGGTTAAAGTAGAATTTTCAGGAACATGAGTGAAAATTCTATGTGTGCCTAAACAGTTTACAATTATGAATGTCAAAGAACAGCAGCAAGACTTGAATACGTCAAGGTAATAAAAATATGTTTAAATGGCTACACCAAATTATGATAAACTTTGTAAACCCCAAGATAACCATCACTAAGAAAAGAACTCAGGAGATTCAAATTGCTGTCAATCTTCTTTCTACTTTTGTTATTACTTTTTGAAGCCAAAAACTTGTTATATAAATTTTTTATCATTTAAAATGCACGTTTTTACAGAATTCTTTTAAGTAATAATTATATTCTATGAAGTATCAAAATTAAAATTTATGTATATATATATATATATATATATATATATATATAGATAGATATATATATATTTACAGGTGTAATTGATTCACGAATTTTTGAAGCTATGAATATTACTCAATGTTAGATTTTGATGACTTTCTACAAAGTTTATTTATACTAATATCTTTTGTAAGTGCACTCAAATTTTGTGTAAGAGCCTCTGCTGAGAATTATATTTTATTTGTTTCATTCACTAAACATTGAGTATGTAAATTGAAATTACAACTTCAAGTACAATATACACATTAGATGTTTTTGATGTGATTTTTTGTGTTTTTAGAACTTGATTGCAAATGCTACTTGTCAATATTATTATTATGATATTTGTGAATCTTTTTTATGAGAGAAAAATATTTTTAAAGGCAAGTCAGCAAAGTTATAAGTTGATTGCCATAGCTGCTTACTGATATAATTAACTGACCTGGTTAGTCTCATTTTACAAAATAATCGTTTAATATCATAGCTAAATTTTATTATTTATAAATTTGAACAAATTGTCGTGATAATCTTCTAGTCTTCTAGCGAAGAATAATTATTTTTAAAACTAAAACAATTTGCCAACTCTGTGGCTGTAGGTTAAGTTAAGTCTTTACCTGCATGATAGGAATTTCCAAAATTCAAAAAATTAAAATCTAACATCTATTGAATTGATTCATTGCAATGGCAATAAATTATTAAATTGTATTATGAAAAAAGAACTTACTATAAATTTAGAAGAAATCTGTTTCTGTAATTAAAAGCACCAACTCTTATTTTGAACTACTCTTCAAATTCTATTGTCTGTGGCTTCTTTGATTCAAGTGTGATATGCCTTGAATCACTTTTGCTTTGTAAAAACCAAATACAAAGTGGACAATTTTGCAAACAAAGGTGGTAAAAACATGTATGGATATTGAGATGATCTATTTTTTTATTCTTGCACTCATGCAAGCTTTTCTTCCACTCCCACAAACATGCCATTCTCTATTGCCAATATTATTTTATTTTATTTTATTTTTGTGTATTCTTTGTGAAAGCAAGAAGTGTTTGTTTGAGTCTGTATACATCTGTTTAAATGTCTATACATCCATCCAATTTGAATTGAATGTTTTTTACACCTCAAATGATTGCTTTCCAATGTTATTCCCCAAGCAAAGTCAGGATCCCTCTACTTTAGTAAATGTTTGCATGACTGTACTAAAACTCTAATAAGTTACAATATTAAAACTACTTTTTTTATATTTTAAAATTTAAGTTTTTTTTATTAAGACTAAAAGTGATTTTATACTTCCTTTTATTCATTTATCTACTTCTAATAATATGTAATAGTTTTATATAATTTATAATAATTTAATAATAAAAATTTAATATGATTTTTAAAAACAAACATATTTTATGATTAAAAAAATAAAATAATTTTAAATTAATGTAGGAATTATTGATAAAATTTTAAACTTAAAATAAACATTTCTTTTTCTTTAAAAAGATACAATAAATTAATTTTGAATGTTAATATTCAAAATATTAGTATTAATATGTATGTAATTTTGAATATTAATTATATACATATTAATTATTTTAAAGTTTTTCTAATTAATTTTTTATTCTTTTGTTTGATTCTCATGTATTTATATACAAAATTGTTATTCTTCTAAAGTATAAATTTCTTATCAACTAATATATATACATATACATACAACTAATTTCTCTTATTTTATTAAAAATTTGATTGGTTTGTAATTGTCTGAGGCTACAAGCACACCTCAAGTTGCTATACACACACCCATTATGTCAATACACACACCCAAGAAAGACTGATTGGTTCATCCAAATCCCTTTTTCCTTGTATCTGTGGGTCCCTATCTCCTTTTCTCCCTTGCCCCAGCGCGGGTTCCTACCCGTCCCTCTCTTCCTTGCCTAGCTTGGGTCTTGCATCTCTTTCTTTTCCCGGCGCGCGTCGCGGTCCCTTCTTCCTTGACCTCAGCTCTTCTGTGGATCGAGATTGAATCTATACGCCTCACGATCCAAATACGTTAAACCCAACTCACGACTGTCAAATAATGCGGGAATAGCAGACGAATTCTTACCTGATGAAGAATCATGGACTTGTTGGCAAAATCCACCAGGGATTTAGGCACACTGAAAGTGAATGGCCACAGTCTGGTATCATAACCAACCCCAGTCCAAAGTGCCGGGGTCGCAACCTCAGATCGAAGCAACGAGCACTTCACATGCAAATCTACCGAAGATCTGTTGAGAGGAGAGGCGGATTCCTTCCATGAAATGACACAACCAGCTTTGCGGGATCTCGATGCCTGCTGGTCATGGACCTGCTCCACCTCAATGCTCCTTTGTAGTTGCAGGTCCTGGATTGCTTCAGTTCTGGATTACCGTTGTCATGCGACTCCTCCTGCATTGCATGGTCACGCTGGTTAAATATCACTAATTACGTGATCAGTTTCTCTTCCCTCCCATACGACTTTCCCGTCTATTGCTTGAATAACAAATGCCACAGTTGATGGCCTGCAACCAACCAAGCAAGTATCTAGATTGATGCGAAAAGTGCATTCAACAACTTGTTCCAGATACTCTCCGCACCGAAGACCTTGGCTGCTAGAATCTCAAATTGTGGTCACACTCAGCATTGCTTTCCAATACAATCTGATCCCCCCTCTGAAAAACCACACGTTTTGTTGCCACTTCACAGATACCCAACTACCCGAATCCGCACAAGCAGAGTCGTCAAAGGCTAAAACAACCCGCTCATAATTCTACTCCTATGAACAACACCCAGACCCTCATCAACAAGAAATCCCTACCCAATTGGGGTGTTTTTGTTTTTGAGTAGATTGTGGAATAGAACTAGAGGTCATCCTTTATCGTTTATCGTTTAGCTAATCAATCATATTAAAACAAAGTATAGGTCATACATTATCAGCCTTTGTAATTATGTGCATAATAAAACTGACTTCAGTACATATATATATATATATATATATATAAGTAATATTTTCAGTTAATTTTTTTTCCCAAATATACGTGTAGAAGATTAAATTTAAAAGTCTAACTTATGGTGTAGTATCTATAGATATTGAGTATTTTTTTATATGATTGATCATAATTAAGAAATCTAATTATTTAGATTTTAATATTTTAATATTTTAATTTTATATTCTTAAAAATATTTATGATTAATTACATTTCTGTAATTTAAGAAAAAAACATGTGCATTAAAATCTTTATTATCTAAATGCAATGCACAAAAGAACTTAAAATAAACATGAGAAATTCACAAATGAAATGTGCCCCTTACCTGAACCTTCAAATTTTCTTACGTAGATATGAAATCCAAATCCACCAGAATGTATCCAATTCCACTACAAACTGTAAAGTTTTAAACCATTTTTTGAAATTAACTTATGACTAGATTTTTCTTTTTCTGTAACCATTTTATTTTATTTTATTTTTTTCAAGACGAAATCACATTTTATTCCCACTCAAAGTAATCATATTTCAAAATTAAAGCAACAGAATTCAACATACAAACTGTACTAGAATTTGAACTCCGTCCGGATCTCGTCCATCTTCGTTCGTTCGGTGGACGAAATTATCACGGACTTTGGGACTTCGTTACTGACACGTGGCATACAGAAATTAACTGTTGATGTGGCGACACTGTAAACATAAAAAGTGACGCCAGATGTCGAATTCCTGGTTAGGACACATCTGCACCACCTAATACCACGATGTGGTCGAGTCCGGGTATCGATTTCTCCGAAGGAGGTATCTCTAATAACCGGGGATAATGGTGGAATCATTTGCTCATATTTATACCCGTTTGGAATAAAAGTGCATCCATGTGTGCAAGCACGTGAATGGCCACGTCAGACAGTCGTGACACTCCCATTCACTTGAATTAAGATACCCTGACCCGCTATGAACAGTGTATCGTCCACCAGCCAGAGCAGAGAGAGGGAGCATGGTGTCCCCACGTGGTGAACTGAGGAGCTCCCCAGTTGGACGACCTCTGATTTGCGAACAGGCTCACTAGATTTTCTCCGCCTCATTCCATGGACATCAGCCGTCGTTCGATTCTGCGGACGAAGGAAATTCTTCCCAGCCCAACCCACAGCCGAGATTTGAGAAGAAACGGTGCAGAATCCATGGAGCTCGTGGGGAGTGAGGGATTGCGAGATTGAGCGATGGGGGAAGCGGGGATGAGGACGCCGGAATGCGCACCCAAGCTGCGGTGGGAGGTGAAACCGTCGAACTGGCAAGCGGAGAGGCAGCGATGGCACGAGCAGCACGTTGAGAAGCAGGAGTCGCCGTTAGTGAGGAGTCGGCACAGTAGCCACGGAAACGTGCGCAGTGACAAGCAGCCGCATGTGAAGAAAGCGTCGATTTCTGAGCGAGAGCGGATGCGCAAGGCTGGCGACCTTGTGGAACCGCAGATCAACTCGTTCGACTTGCAGCCGCCCGTGGCGCACCGGGCCAATTCGACGGTCACGTTCTCCGAGCGCCAGCGGCGCAAGAAGCGCGCGGGGTATGGGTTCAATGGGTTTTTCCTCACAGAGAACGAGTGCTATGATTCGCTGGATCAGCTCTTTCCGGGTGCAAGGGCGGACTACGCTCCCCCTGATTGGACTGCGTCGCGGCGACCTCCACAGTCGCTATTCGACTCGTGGAACTCGGGGTTTCGGCAGTTTATGGAGGAGAAGGGTTGGGGCAATGGCAAGCCGGAGTTGAAATCCGGTGGAAAGAGTCAGAGGAAGAATGGGGAGGATGGGGAGTATGGTGAGTATGGTAGGTTTTTGGATATGGAAGATGCTGCTGAGAAACCGAGTGTAACGAGCGGTGTGGCCCAAGTTCCGATCCATGAGTTGGAGTCGGACAAGAAGCACTTCGAACTGGAATTGGAGGATGAGGTTGGGCCGGAGAGGAAGAAGAAGGTGAGGAGGCATCGATTTAGGTTGAAATTGGGTCCGAATGGACGACGACTTCTGAGCGGTGCGATTGCGGGGGCGTTCTCGCGCACTGCTGTGGCTCCCCTTGAGACAATCAGGACCCACTTGATGGTGGGGAGCCGTGGCCATTCAGTCTCCGAGGTCTTCGGTTGGATTGTTTCGAATGAAGGTTGGCAAGGGTTGTTTCGAGGCAACGCTATCAATGTACTCCGAGTGGCACCCAGCAAGGCTATTGAAGTGAGTGAAAATGTTTCTCATCGTTGAATTCTATTAGTGTCATGGAGTATCCCATTTTCTGTTTCGAAATGTTGTGTGGGATTGCCTTCGACGTTTCTTCGGGCATAATATACACGCATTGTCGCTGTAGGTGATCATTGAGCAGCTTGTGGGCGTCGGCGTCTGATAGTAGTAAGAATCAATATATGCAAGGAGAAATTTCAGTATCTGTGTGCAGACTCTCAATGTAGGGGAGTTCAAGAACCTAACTGCCTCTTTGCTTGTGTTTCGTGGCAGCTTTTTGCTTTTGATAAAGTGAAGGGATTCTTAAATTCAATCGAAAACAAGCCTGGAATTTTAGCAACATTGCCAGTGTCACCTATTGCAGGGTCGTGTGCAGGAATTTCTTCCACATTGGTCATGTATCCTCTCGAGCTTTTGAAAACTCGTCTGACCATACAGGTAAGTAAGTGCATTTGACCAACCTTGGAGTATTGTATGTTTAATTCAAACTTATTTGAACCTGGCTGGGGGTTCTTTGCCGGTTTCAAATTTCATCTACTAGTATTCTGATGATATTTGTTGGTCATGCTCTTGCTCAGCCGGATGAATACCGAGGCATTCTACATGCTTTATATAGGATCGTTACTGAAGAAGGGTTTTTGGAGCTGTACCGGGGTCTGGCTCCAAGTATTATTGGAGTGATACCCTATGCGGGAGTCAACTACTTCGCTTATGATTCCTTGCGATCTATGTATAAGCGTCTAAGCAAAGAAGAAAGGATTGGTAATATCCAGACCTTACTCATCGGCTCACTGGCAGGAGCTATAGCGAGTTCAAGTACATTTCCATTGGAGGTAGCACGTAAGCAAATGCAGGTACGCATCATCTCTAACGACTTTCACTTGTCTGTCAAAGCTATTCTGATGGTTCTGCGTTGTAATTCACTAGTGTGTTTAATAATACCAACTTTTTACAGCTGTTGCTTGCAATTAGAAGAGAACGGGTACTTAGTAGCGACAGTGGAACATCACTGATATTTACTTAATAACGTAGTAACTTATCTGATCCTGAGATCAACGCTTTCAAGGCTGCTCATTATCCTTCCAGATCTTAATTGAGCAATTTGAAACATTCCAATGAATTGTTGGGCCCTTGCTTGTCTAGGTTGGAGCGATAAAAGGAAGGGTTGTGTATTCCAGCACACTGGATGCCTTGCGGGGTATTGTCAAGGAGCGTGGCATCAGTGGTCTGTACAGAGGCTTAGGTCCCAGCTGCTTAAAGTTGGTGCCTGCAGCTGGTCTGTCGTTCATGTGCTACGAAGCACTGAAGAGAATTTTATTAGAAGAAGAAGAAGCTGATTCATAATGTGTACACTGTTCCTGACAAAGCTATCCGATTTTTTGTGAAGTGTCACTTGTAAATTGCTGAACCTAAAGTGGAGTAAGCATGTGAATGCTTGCGTGGGTGAGTTATTGCCACAGCCATCGTCGCAATGGGAAGGAATACCTTCAAGAGGATTCCGTGATGTGCGCATTGGCTTTTGAATCGTGAGGTTCGGTGTGCAAGAGCATTCTGATTAGTTTGAAGGAGAAGAAATTGGGGTCCATGTAGAGGGATCAGCAGTTTTGGCACTTCGCTTCTGGCATGTTTCGAGAGCCTGTATCTCAGTCTTGTGCATGCAAGAATGTTCATATATCCTGTAGATCTTAATATAATGAGTTTTTAATGCCATGTTAATTCATGGAATGGAGAATGGCGTACTTTCTTTACAATTTTTGAGAAGCACTGACTTGTTATTACAGTTTGTCTCATGGAAGAGAGATTCATATATTTGAGAAAGTGGTGTTACACTGCGACCGCCCAAGTGGTGTCTTCTTTTGTTGGATCACAAACCGACGACTAGGCCAAATAGACTCTTCAGCTCTTTCTCCCTATGTTGAAACTTCTATCTCTAAGCCTTCTCTCAAAGACTGTCTTATATCCTGCAACCTTACTGGAAAATGATGCAATATCCACTACTACATTACTTCTGAAGCCATTCCACCTTCGCTATTGTCCCTTCCATTTGAGTTTATCATAAAATCTTTGCAGGTGCTCTGGAGACGAAAATATACGTGCAGGTTTTGCGAAAATAATTTTTTAACATTGATCACTTTTTAGTTAAATTGCTAGACGTATTCAACAGAACTCACAAGTAACAGCAAGGTTATCCTTGCAATGATGCTGGTTTCAGTGTACCTGAATTCTAGTTGAGGGTTGTAACATTGTCGTTTATGTTTTGTAAAGTGTTGGCCACCTTGATTAACAATCCGCGGGAAAATTCACTCCTCAGAAGTAGGTCAGCAGCTACACCGATATCCGTAATTAGTGTGTAAATTCAAATAATATATATTTCTAATTAGTGTGATATATACCATTCATAGGATACATGCTTTCTAGCTGTGACATATCCTGTTCACTACTGCTATTTTTTTTGTCTTGAAGGATAAAGATGGTGCATCCATTCCTTGATGTATCAATTGAACTTGAAAAAGTAGTAGTTTGATTTGAATTCATTTCATCCATATAGAGATGAGCTTTATAAGGATTGCTTGTTTGCTTTTGAAGAGAGTACATTACTACAACATAATATGATGCTTAAGAAGATTTAGAGATGTAAAAAAGTCAAGAGTAAGATTACATGAAGCAAGGTTATTAGATAACTTGCATAATATGATGCTTGAGAAGATTTAGAGATGTAAAAAAGTCAAGAGTAAGATTACATGAAGCAAGGTTATTAGATAACTTGCATAATATGATGCTTGAGAAGATTTAGAGATGTAAAAAAGTCAAGAGTAAGATTACATGAAGCAAGGTTATTAGATAACTTGCAAGGCTAAGAGTGATGCTTGCTTGTCCAATGTGATAGTCTAACATAAGATGATAAAAAACTAAAAAAGTTATATGTTCATTAAATATGGAATAAAAATACATATAACCACAAATTAAATATAAAGTTATAAATTAATAAATAAATAAATAAATAAATTTAATAAATATAATAATATATATAAATATATAAATATATAAATATATTTAATAAATTATAAATAGAGAGTTAGAAATCAATTAGAAATTTTTGTGTAGTTAAAGGCATTATGTATCCATGTAGCTACTACTAATACAAAACTTATTACGACATCTATACATAACAAATTTACCTTGATTTGATCAAAATTTGCTCAAAAAATATTAAGTTTAGCTTCATTACATTTATAACAATCAAAGGATTTATAGCATGATTATTGAAACAAAACATTCAAATGGCATGCATAGATTTGTATGAAGTAGAAGTTCTTTTTTCAGCTTTCTTATAGATTGACTAGCAACTATTATCACAGTTTGTAATTTGTACTTTGTGACATACATTTATATTGGTATATAGAATTAGAGTCGGCATTAAAATTCTTTTGAAATCTCTTGTGATTTTAAGAGCTACAAGTAAATTTGCATTGTATTCACTATATTAATTCTTTCTATATTTGAACTTAATATTGATGATGTTGGCACAAGTTAGAATCCAACAAAGTAATTGAGGTAGCAAAGTTTGGATCAACAACTATTGATTTATTTATTTGGAATGATTGTCTAATACTTGCCAATGTAGGCAACTACTATGTTGTGTGTAATGACTCACAAAATATTTTTTCTTGCAATTCTATGCATAAATTTGAATTATTCATCTTGGCAAGTACTTAGATTTAACTTTAATATATACATTGTTGATAGTGAATTTTTTTTTGAAGGAGTCAGTTATCTAAGGTATTTAAGCCATACATAATGTAAATGAGAATGGACAATTAATCAATTTTGATATGAATTGAAGGACAATATTAAAGATTTATTATTAACAATGCCAAAAGCAAAATCTATGAAATAATTTATTATTCAATCTATTCCATATAATAATTAATTATTTAAAAGGCATTAAGAATAAAGATTTTATTGGAGAAGAACAAATTAAGTAATGACAGCAACTTCCAAGTTTTTATAAAATTATTCATTAAGGCCAAAACCAATGCAAATTAATATGGTATGTTTTAAACCTCTTACTAAATAAGAAAAGATTCATTGTTGTTAAAAAAGTTTGTACCTATATTATAGAGAATCCAAGCATATTACTCAATATTGTCTAAAAAAATAATACAATCACAAAATGAGGAGCGTGGTTGTCAAAGAAGCTGATGTGTAAAAAAATAAGTTTCTCTAGCTATAATAGAGACCACATGACTGAAATCTTATATAATTCGTAGTAAAGGTCATATTTTCTTTTCAGATCCTTCACCTTATTTTGTAATAGAAATTTTTTTAGAACCAAAAAATTACAAAATCTTAGCCTTGTTGGATTCAAGAATCTCAACTTATTTTATAGATAAAGATTTTGTCAAAAAAATAAGATATATCTTTAGTTAAGAAAATCAAACCTGTGCATGTTGAAATAATAGATGGTCATTCATTGTCTTTTAGAGATGTTACACATGAAATTTTTCTCATAGAAATAGCGATTATAATAGTTTAGTAATATTTAATATAATTACATCTTTTTTTAATCCAATTATTTTAGGATTATTGTGATTAAAAAAGTATAATTTTTAAATAAATTAGATTTCTTACAATATTGATTTTTTTCAAACTTTAGCCAAAGTTTTTGTTAGGCAAGTAGAAACCTATAAGATTGATATATTTAAACCATTATTAGTAAGTAGAAGAGCTTTTATGCATGTTGCAAAAGAAAGGTCAACTTTTATTACATACGCTACACTTATTGTTGATAAACAAAAGATTTCAATTGGCATTCTAAACCAATACGAAGATTATCAAGATGTTTTTGAAAAGAAGAATGTAGATATTTTTTTAAAGTATTGTCTTTATGATTATTCTATCAATTTTCAAGAAGGAGCTCAACCACCATTTGAACCAATCTATAGTCTATTACATAACAAGTTGGATGCACTCAAAAAATACATTAATAAAAATTTGGTTAAAATTTTTACATGCCATTCTAAATCTCCAATTGAGGTTTCTATCTTATTTGTGAAGAAAAAAAAATCCCCACAAATATATATGGACTATTGAGGATTCAATAAAATCATCATCAAGAATAGGTACCCTTTAGTTTTGATTTTAAGACTTCTTGATCAATTGAATAAAGCAAAGATCTATACAAAAATAAATCTATTAGGAGCATACAATCTAGCACATATTAAAAAAAGAGATAATTAAAAAATTATATTTCAAACTAAATAAGGGCATTTTGAATATAATGTCATATCTTTTGGACTCACAAACGTATAAGCTATATTTCAAAATCTCATAAATGATGTTTTTTGTGAGTTTTTTGATGATTTTTTTATTTTTTATTTAAACATTATTTTAATCTACTCTAAAAACATAAAAGAAGATGAATTTTATGATTATTGTGTATTATAAAAATTTAAAAATACAAGATTTTATGACAAGATAGAAAAGTGTGTTCTTGATACTACTCAAATTGACTTCTTAGGATACATCATTTCCAACAAAAGACTTATGATGGATCCAAAGAAAGTCTAGACTATTGTAGATTAGAAGATTCCAAAAACATTCAAAGATGTGTAATATTTTTTTAAATTTTTCAATTATTATAAGATCTTCATTAAGAACTTCTTTCAAGTTGTCGCTCTTCTTACATCCTTGACATGTAAAGATAAACTTAAGTAGAAGAAAGAAGTTAAAGCCTTGAAGACATCATTTATTTTTATATCAATTTTATATTATATTAATTTTTTTAATACATTTTTTATAGAAAAAAATATATCAAATTTTGATATAAATGTTGTTTTATTATAAATGAGAACCAATAACAAGCTCTATTTGATAGTTTTTTATTCTAAGAAATTTTTAGCACCTAAGATTAACTATAAAATCTATAATAAAGAGCTTCTTGTAATTGTGGATTTATTTTAAGTATGGTGTCTTTATCTAAAAGGTGCTTTTAGTTTAATCATAGTATATACAAATTATAAGAACGTCAAGTATTTCATGTCCATATGTATTTTGAATCATTGCTAAGCTTGTTAGAGCATGTCTTTATCAAGATTTGATTTTAAGATCACTTATTAATCTCAAAAATAACAAGGTTTGTCAAACATTCTTTCTAGACATTCTTATCTTGCACCAAAAGAAAGAGATGCAACTTTTGATCAACAAAGAATGGTTTTTTTTGAAGCCATAGCATTTTCATCTATAAGCAATAAAATTAACATTGATTTTTGATTCAATCTTTGTGAAGAACATTCAATCAAGTATGTTCTTTGATCTTCTTGTTCATAATATCAAGAATAATTCTTCTAAGTCTCATGATACTTCCAAATTTGAGTTCAAAAATAATTTATTGTATTTCAAACGATAATTATACATTCTAAAAGGCACAGCTTATCATGATTTTTTGGCAATCATATATTTTGGATACAATAAGACTTTAGAATTAATATCAAGAGATTTTTAGTGGCTTCAAATAAGGAAGACAATTAACGACTTTGTATAATTATATGATATTTATTCAAGATCAAAAATTCCTTATCATCAAACTTATAGAATTCTTCAACTATTATCTATTCTAGAACAACCATTGTCTTTTGTTTCTATACATTTTATCATAGATCTTTCAATCTTGGATTTGTATGATTTTATATTTATGATAGTAGATCGTTTTATCAAGATGGCACATTTTCTATCATGTACAAAATCTATC